CCCCAAAACCCCAAAACCCCAAAACCCCAAAACCCCTTAATTCAATATTGTAATTTAATATTAGAGTTTAGATATTAAGACTACGAAATAATAAATTAAAACTAATATTTACCCAGCAAAGTCATAAAATGATTATTGGTGAATATTCAAGATTAAGGAGATTTAATTGTAGTCTACTAATATTTCATCAATCTATCTTTGAACTATCAAATTTCTCTATATAATCTTCTTAATCATGGAGCTTTACTAAGATTGGAACATTTTCTGGATTTAATTCTATTTCTAGTTCAGGTTATGGTCCTTAGTTTTAATCTTAATTTCTTTTTTATAATTATCTTGACAAGTCATTTGACTTATTTATCCAGTGGTTTATTGTCTTGATTATTTTTATTATTTGGAATAAATAAGCTGGTATAATCGTAAGAACTACTAGGAATATTGAAATACAAGCACTTAATACAAGGGCAATACAAATTTCAACTATATACACAAGCACAATCAAAATCTTAATGATTATATTTGCATTCTTGAAATTCCTCTTTCCCATTCCCAAGCACTAGTTTAATTCTACTATTCCAAAGATAAACACCATTGACATAAAAATCATAGTGCAAATAAGCATCACTGCTGGAAGTAACAAAAATGTTAAAAACAAAGTTACCATCACAGCTATTCTTCCACTCGGTGAAACTATCAATCCAGGACAACCCATTGGATTAAATGGTAAGAAATGAGCATAGCTGCATATTTCTCCACATAGCCAACACCAACCAGTACTACACTAAGGACATTTCATATGATTACAACCATCGATTTTCTCTACTCTTACTCTACACTTTGGACAGTTAGAGAAATCACTTCCAGTGAACCAATCTCCCATCTCTTGAGCAAGAATTTACTCACATGTCATATTTTACTGGTGTTTCGCCCAGTCAATTTAGCATTTTCCGCAAAATCAATGATTGCAATATTAGCAGATATACTCCTTAGCTTTATCTTTATTACAAGATGTTACTTTATTGCATTTTGGATTTGGACAGTAAACTCTGTTCTTATCAAGCATTATTTTCAAGTCATCATTAAAGCAATTAAATTTTTCTAAGGTCTATTAATCTAGAATTCCAGCTAAATGAGAGTATTGGAACTGCTATCCGCATTTGTATTAAGGACAAACAAGCTTTGTAATTTGTCTTGTATTAATCAAGTTTTGCAAATAAGAAATTACGCAACTTTAGCAGAATACATGGCCACATCCTTAAATATTCAGAAGCTATCCTTAAGTACATAGATCATAACAAATTAGACACTCAAATGTGCCAACTATTTAGTTATTTTATATGTTTTCTGAGTAGTATGAAATGAATGGAGAGTCTGATTGAGCTATAGCATCTACCTACATTTATGATTGATGGTTTATGTCTATAGTGTCAATTTGCTTCTATGTAGAATCACCACCAATGATAGAAAGTCTAGATTCTTTTGTCTGCAAATGTCTGGGCAAGGAAATTATTGGTGAGGTAATATGTTAAAATACTTAAGAATTCTGGTTATTATGCTTTATCTCATCCTCATGGCAAATGTAACATACGCTTTCAACTGATAATTTCAACTTATGATAGGGATGTGATAATAATCCAATGTCATCTTTACTTAATAACTGGACTGCTTACTCTACACTATTTATCTTATGAATGCAGAGAAGTCTCTTGATTAGTCCATAATTGTAACCCATATCAACTAAATTTCTGATCAATAGCACTTGAGATTTAGCATTTTCTTGAAGCAACTAATTTTTTCCCTTTTTATTGTCTTTAACATCTTTCCTTATTTATATTGCATTGAACTCTAAATCTAAACAATCCTCTTATGCATCTATTGAGTTGTATTTTGTCTGTTATAAAAATGGCTCTGACATAGATGGGCCATAACTTTGATAATCATGCGAGTAGAAATACTTTCCAAAATTCATTTATATTTCGCTTTATTTTATAAGATTTTATCTATTATTAGGATTATTTTTAACCTATTATAGCTCTAAGGGGTTTTGGGGTTTTGGGGTTTTGGGG